GGGGGGGGGGCTGTAGTGCGTGGAGTTTAAAATTGACATTTGATTTAATTGATCTTTTTCCAATGAATGATAAGGTTGAGAACGGAACCTGAGGAACAATATCCTAAAGAGACCCCCTTCTCAACACCTGGGGAGAACCCTGAGAAAACTAAGACTGATGACAAAACATAAAGCTGAAAACTCTAAAAAAAACTGTATATATCTATCTATCTATCTATCTATCTATCAAGCCTAGACCCAAAATGTCCGAAGGCTCGGTTTTGATTGTTTAAAACTAGAGCTAGATATCTGTATAGTGTAAACTATATAAACATATCAACACTTCTCTCATCAAACTAGGGAAACCGGGATACTCGATTATTGGGGTTCTGATGAGATCATGTGAACAAAAACGATTTTACAAGACAGTCCAAAAAGTAAAAAGATGTTCATGTGTACAGTTTAGAGATAATTATACAGATACATCATTGAAATATTGGTTTCTTAATGTGCACAAAGTTAGTAAATACAGATAAATGTAGATTGCACTCAGTTATTGCACAACGAGAAAGTATATTTAATGGACGTCTTATAGAATAGTCTTTGATGTAAACGAGTGAAACGTTAAAATGTTCTCTAGCTCTACAACTACGGCATACGTTGCTGGAACAGAAGGTAGAGGTATGGCTTCGGAGAACTTCCGAACCGGGTTCAGCTTGGGTAGGACGGGTTTAGTATTCAGGTTTCCGTCGGAGAGCTTCCGAACAATCCTCGGCGGCTCCTCAACCTTACAGACCTTGGGCTTTTTCTTTTTGGGTTTCGGGACAGGCCTAAAAATGAGGGCGAGTAAACAAAGCAATTCAAGGTCTCGGTTTCAATAAAAGAGTGATGTTATCATTGTCTGAAAATGCACAGGGAACCTAGAATCAGGTTTAGAAGATTATTCTCATCTTCTTTATACTCATGTAACCTAGAAGAACCAGTATAAGAATAAAATAAAGGGAATATGCTTACTTTTCCTCTGGTTCCATCCTTTCCTCCTTGGTTGCCTGCAGGTATGATACACGACGTAGGTTTCTCTCATCCTCTTCAACTAAACAACATCAAGAACATATTAGAAAAACATAAATAATATCTTTTTAGTTTTATAATATATGTTTTCTTTACTAACAGTATATACGGATAAGATAGATTTAAATATGACATGTCTTGAGTATAAACTAAAATAATGCTTGTTAAAAAGTTTGAGATAACGTTTAACAACTTGCATCTTGCAAATTATAGACCAAAATATTAGCTGATTCTAAGAACTGAAAATAGTAAAATATATGAAAGATACAAAGTTTGAACTTTAATTCAACTAATTTGTTAAAAAAGCTTAACAAAGTTTAATTTGTCTAGTTTATGATATGATATAGTGCAAACAAGGAAATCATAAAAATCTTTTTTTCCCAACATTTTAACATTTTTTTCAAAAATTTTTCATTTTGCGGAACAAAATAAGGAGAAAATTATGTTTAATTCGTGACCCATGTCGGACAGGCACTGATGAGCTGATCTCAACAGAAAAAGGAATTCAGTTGATCTTTACTTACGTTCTAGTCCAGCTCATCATCACCAGACCGACATGACCGCTATACTGGTAACCCCGACACAAAAGAGCACACAAGTATTTTAAACCGGAAAATTAACAAGTCCTGATGACCTCCAGTGTACCAAGAAATCCAAAATGCGTGAATACATGGCTGACTCATTTAATCAAAGGATAAGAAATTTATAAACCATCCAAAGCTAAAAAAAATTCATTCAAAAAATTGTTGATTCACTGTCGAATAAAAACATAAATTAAGATCATATAAATAACATACCTTTCTAAAAAGAAAATTACAAGTAAGAAATAATTAGCCGAGATTGTAAAAAAACTTTCTACTGTATACGTCTAACTAAATCTAGGTTTATTAAGAGTAGTCGAGTTCAAGAATCTAAGGTTTGGAGGAAGAAGAACCCAATATCAGGATTTTTCTCTAATCTCCGGCCTAATACCAAGCGTAACCCCAGCAGGAAAGCCTGGATCCTGAAGGAGAACAAGCTTACCATGTGAATATTTCTTCTGTCTGTAGACGACCTTTCTCCCGTCTCTATCTGGGTAGGTTAAGTGTTTGTGTGGAGATGTGTCAGGGGGGGAAACTAAAAATAAAAACTAAAAGAAAACTCAAATCACAATGTCAATATTTGAGATTGTTGTCTAGCTAATTATATCGGAGCTTGAAACCCGAGAGCTCCGGAATAAAAATGAAATATGGATTAGGTTTCATAAACAGAGAAACTCTTTTCAATTAAGAGGAAAAATAAAAGATAAAAAATATTAGGATTGACAAAAAAACAAAACCTGGATTAAAAGTAATGTCTTGTGGATCTGGGTGCATGTGTACGGGTGTGGTTAGTGTAGGTGGAGCAGACGAGTAGTTAGGGCTGTCATGTCGACCTCTACAGGCATGCATCGGCTGGAGGCCGGGCAGATTCGTCGGCCGTGGTGGACGAGGATGGTAAGGAGTGGTCATGGTCATGATGGTGCAGTCCGGACAAGGGGGCGGGGCTGAATAAGGGTAGGAGGGAGGTGTGTCCGGGTAGTAAACAGGGTACTCATAACAGTAAACACATGCTGAAACACCCGGTTAGTAGGTTTTTTTATATCAAACTTTAACCAATTCTCATGATTTAATGTAAAAACATTAAGCTTATATCACAGTAATGATTGTCTGGGCAGTGTGACGCACAGAATTAAACTGACGCAGTTTAACCAAGCGTAGGTTTGAAGGGGACGGGGACTAGAACGTACGCACCAAACCAATTTCACCAGTTCGTATAAATCTGAGCTTTGGTCCTTCTCAATAAGAATTATATATTGCTACATCTTAACGACAGATGGCCACTTCAAGCAGCCATATCTTACTCCAGGATCCTTTACTTATCTTTATGCAACCCAATCTTACTCAAGGATCCTTTACTTATCTTTATGCAGCCCAATCTTACTCCAGGATCCTTTACTTATCTTTATGCAGCCCAATCTTACTCCAGGATCCATTACTTATCTTTATGCAACCCAATCTTACTCAAGGATCCTTTGCTTATCTTTATGCAACCCATATCTTACTATAGGATCCATTACATATCAATATAAACCCAATATTACTCCAAGATCTATTTTACATTATAAAACCAACTGAATATCTCTTTAAAGCCAAAACCTTAATAATCTTTTACAAATACATTCTTAAATATGCATCCCATACATTATAAATCTGTTTTTTTTTTTTTTTTCTTAAACCAACCAAAAATTAAAAGCTCTCAATATTTGAAGCAACCATGATCTTAGTTCAACTGAACTCCTGGAGCTAACTTTAGCTGATTCTTTCTTTTCATCTTGATCAGGAGAATGCAAGATGGTTCCTCGAATCCTCTTGTTTTAAGTAAAATTTTTATCCCCAGTTTTCCGATCTGTATTTCTTTATCCTATTTAAACGGAACCGTTCTACAATCCAGATTAAATAATCTATTCTTAATCTCATTTCTCCCGTATCAAGATCAAGTTTAACATTTTCAATTCTACAACCGGCTTTCTTTTCAGAACCAAGATTCATGCTCAAGCATCAGACATTCTACCTCATTCAACCAACTCATTAACTTCCGACCTGGCCAGTGCTTATCAAACTACTTATTAATTAATCCCACATACTTTTTAATCCGACATACCCATAATAACATATTTAATTATTTGTTATTTTTCACATTTGAATATTTGAATAACTTCTATTTTTAAAATCCTTTGAGGGGGTATACGGTAAACTAACTAAAAGGAGTTAGTCAATTAGATCTAATCAATTCTAATTAAATATATTTTTTAATCTTTAAACTAGAAATGAACATCTGTTTATCAGTATCCTTCAACCACCCATTCAATCCAACCCACCTTCAATTAAAACCAAATTTGTCAAATCCAACCCACATACTTATACAGTATATGTATATACATTATACACATTATACAATTCATATAATTCATCATAATTCCTCACAAACCACGTGCATTTAATATACAATGAAAAATTAATCCATATCAGGTGTAACAGTAACAGTTTTGACCACATTTCTTTTTGTTGAAACATAATTTAATTTTAACAAAATCAAAATTTGCAATTTTATTAACTTTGACTTCTTGTAGCCTTGTTTCTAAGCTTATTCATCAAAAACTATTGTCTTTTAATCTTGGGTTCATTTAATATAATTAAGCTCCATATAAAATCAATTATAGCTGACTAATTTAATTCTACACCTTCAATTGTGTGAGTTTATGAAACGGATGAGGGGGGGGGGGTAGATTCAAAACTTAAAAAGAATCTTATTAGAATATCAATAATTTTGTTAAAGGAAAATACAGAAAGAAAAAAGAAATGAAGGAGAGAAATGAAGAGAAGATATAAAGAATAAAAAGAAAGGAAAGAAAGGATGAAAAATGAAAGAAGGGAAGTAAGGATGAAAAATGAAAGAAGAGAAGTAAGGATGAAGAATGAAAGAAGATAAGTAAGGATGAAGAATGAAAAAAAGGGAAGTAAGAATACAGAATGAAAAGAAATAAAGGTAAGGATGAAGAACGAAAAGAAGGGAAGTAAGCATTAAGAATAAAAAAGAAAAGTAAGAATGAAAGAAGGGAAGTAAAAATGAAGAATGAAAGAAGATAAGTAAGGATGAAGAATGAAAAGAAGGGAAGTAAGGATACAGAATTAAAAGAAATAAAGGTAAGGATGAAGAACGAAAAGAAGGGAAGTAAGCATAAAGAATAAAAAAGAAAAGTAAGAATGAAAGAAGGGAAGTAAGGATGAAAAATTAAAGAAGGGAAGTAAGGATGAAGAATGAAAGAAGGGAAGTAAGGATATAGAATGAAAATAAGAGAAATAAGAATGAAGAATGAAAAGAATGGAAGTAAGGATGAAGAATGAAAGAAGAGGAGTAAGGATGAGGAAGGAAAAGAAGGGAAGTAAGGATAAAGAATGAAAGAAGAAAAGAAGCTAAGATGAAGAAGGAAAAGTTTAAAGGGAAAGTAAACTGGATGAGGACGCGTGTTGAATTATGGTTTACAAAGAGAGGGTGGGGGGCATATCATTATACATTTATAAGAAACACCCACAAATTATAAATATGTCGAAGAGAGAGATTTCATATCCTTAGTTGACCTTGCTACAAGATTTCTTTACCCGAGGACCCACTATTAGAACTATTAAAGGGTGTTCCAGAATAATGAAAATATACCTAATACAGGGCAAATAGATTAATGGATCAATTATACACGACGTCACAAGTTTCAAATATAACAAGGAAAACGATATTTTCTCACATTATTTGACATTTTTCCAAGATTAAATAAAAAAGTGTAAAAACAGAAAATAAAAAAACACATAAAATAAACACTTATTTTACTGTAAAATAAGTACTTTATCCTAAAACTATCTATTTGGTACAGGGGTGTTCCAGGATAATGAAAATATGTCTAGTACAGGGTGTTCCAGGATAATGAAAATATATCTAGTACAGGGTGTTCCAGGATAATGAACATATGTCTAGTACAGGGTGTTCCAGGATAATGAACATATGTCTAGTACAGGGTGTTCCAGGATAATGAACATATGTCTAGTACCGGGTGTTCCAGGATAATGAATATGTTCCAGAGTAAATTTCCAAAACAATCAGCGACAACCAAGGAAAAGCAAATTTATATTAAGCCCTTTCTACCAAAAAGTAATAAATGTCAATGGAAAGACACTCCTGGAAAACAAAATGAGGAAAAACAAAGAAAACAAAATACTTATTTCTACGGGAAAATGGTAACACAAATTAAGTCAAAGTCATAACCACCAATTTTAGTGATGGAGTAAATTCAAAACGTATGATTTGACAATTTTATTAAAACACCCTGTTTTGACGGCCCAGCATATGGATACGATAGAACAGAATAAATTGCTGATGGTTCAACAGATATCTCAAGGAATGAACTTAGATAACCTTGAAAAGGAAGTATATTTAAAACATTTTTTAATACATCACTTTTTTGACATTTTTGTAAAATATTAATTTTTTGAAATTTTTGTTGAAACAATTCAAAAAATAACTTTATTATGATTAAATCTTATAAAATACTATTTGTTAAAGTTTTCATATTATTTGCACCCAACCATTTTATAACGTAAATAATCTAATTCCTGAACCCAAACCTAGATCTAATCCAAACCCAGATCAGAACTCTTAAACTATACCTCTTATATAACCCCAAACCCTTATTCCGGCCCTCCCTTAGATCCATCAAATTTCTTATTCTAGCCCGGAAGGATTATTCAGTTATGGTTTAAAAGAACCGGGACATGTTTGGGTAAAAAGCCTAGAACACAATTATAAAGAACAAGAACCAACTGAACAAGCAAATGAGTCACATTCCTCCGCACTAAGCTCTAGGTAGTGTGGTTGAATAGGGCCTGACTAGCTGATACTGGACACTAGTACAGGACTCTACTCGACACACAGAGTAATAATAATCCGTCCTATATCCGTGTACTAGAGCAGAACCAAGCAATATTCACTTCTCTATCTTATTCTCTTTCTAAACCTTGACTGCAAGGAGGGTTGTTATAATCCCAACCTTCTTCTTAGGAGGATTTTTTTTTTAAATCGAACCATGGTCCAAATTTATCAATTTTCAACTTGAAAACGACAAGAAAAAAAATATCTATTAAATTACATTCTGGACGTTGTTTGAAGCTATATCTTTCCTAGACTTTGAAATAATTTCAATATAAGAAATATTTACTAAAATCAAGCTGTCTTCGTTGTGAACGAAAGCAGAGTCCAAATTTATTGAATTTGAGCTGCGTCTCAAATCCGCCAAAAACCGGTTTCAATTGAGCGCCGGCTTAAATCTTGAAACATGTAATACAATTTTTAAGGAGAACCAACCATATCTGAGCCACGGCTCATTTTTTTTTTAATTCGGCCTCAGATCAAGCAAAAAGCACTTGCACATAGCAGGCATAAGTTCCATTTTATGGAAATTTTCTTAGTAATGTACATTGTTCATTGTTCAGTGTTCATGCATAACAAGAATCTAAATATTTTGCACTTGGTATTAATACCGTAAATACTGCTCAGAGCCCTCTTCTAGCTCAACTCTAACAGATTAAACCCAACCCCAAACATATGGGATGGACATAAATTTGCAAACATATTTGTGAAATTTTAGAGAAAAAGAAATAGAAAACATGCGGGCAGTAAATGTATGTGGGACCTGGCAGGCCCTTAGGTTGGTTTTTGCTCACTTATTATTAGAAAATGTTCATTTAAAACACGGACATTTACGTCATTCTTGTAAATTTAATTAAGTGTTAAGAGGGAAAAACGTAATTTGTTTGTATGATTTAACAATTAAGTTAAGTATTGAGAGGGGAAAAACGTAATTTGTTTTTATGATTTAACAATTAAGTTAAGTATTGAGAGGGAAAAACGTTAATTGTTTTTATGATTTAACAATTAAGTTGAGTCTTTTTGGGGTTTATCTTTCTACACTAAGATTTACTGAACATACAAGATTTAAACATTTTAATTTTTATTCTTTTTTATTTAAGGAAGCAATGTTAATTTTTAAATACAAAAAATGCATCAGAAAAATAATTTTCCCATTAAATCTTAATATTAATTTTACTTTTTAGGATTAAACAATAAATTTATATTCTCATTTTATTAGTTGTGAAAATTTCAATGGATGAAGAGAACATTTTCAAGGAAATAAATAATGGTTAGGAAAAACTTAATTCATAAAATGTTATCTAATTAGATTCAAAAACAGCGACAAATTAATTGAAATTTAATTATTAATTATTTATGGACCGGAACTGGACATTATTATAGGTGGGTTGACAAATCTTAGTATTTTTCTCTGAGCTAACAATTCTTTTCTCTCAAATCTGGAAAATTCTGCATCTTGATTTAAGATCTAAACCTCAGGATGAAAAAAATGTGAGAAGTTTGTCTACCCATAGTTTAGTGCGGGATATCAGCCATGTAAACAACTATAATAATTCTAAACCTTGAATTATTTAGAATAAGTGCTGAGTCTCCCATCTAGGTTCTGTTTACACAGTTTACCTTGGTTCTCTGGTAAAGATGGAGAGAATGGGACGGGAGAAGGACGGATCGGAGTGGTTTCTTTTATCACTTCTTAATAATTCAAATATTTACTCAAAACTATATATATTGAAACATTCTTTAAGTGTGGATAGACTTATAGTGATTTATACATGCTCAACTTTTTTGCAGTTGCATTACTTATCATTTTGATAATCATATTACTAAAGTTTTTTCATAACTAACCACTCTAATGCAAAATTTTAGCTTCTCAAAGATTATTTCGAATCAACAATTTTATCAAAAAATACTTGATACTAATTCTAATTAGGTGTTATAATCTATGATTTTTAAAACACAAACTTCTAAATCTGAATCTGATATTTCGATCCTGTCAGTTTCCCAGTTTTGATTAAACCCAGACATAGGTGGGCCATAATGTAAACAAACGATAGATTTGTTTACTCAAAGCTGATTTAAATCAGGGCTTTTTACATTTCAAATTCACCTTTGTTCAAAAGGATTTGATTTGGACCCTAAAACCTCGATAGTTGTGAAGTATGAATTTTTATTTGAGTAAATCTAGTTCTATTTATTTAAGAGTGGGGCAACCATTTACCTGGGGGAGGTGGANTTTATCTATGTAAATCCTACATAGTTTATCATTGAATCCGTTCAATCAGATTAACCTTTTATCTATGTAAATCCTACATAGTTTATCATTGAATCCGTTCAATCAGACCAACCTTTATCTAACTATATCCTACATAGTTTAACATAAGATTCTTTAAATCAGCTTAACTTTTACATTTTAACATTAGAACAATTTTTAACAAAACACCAACTCTGAATTCTTGTACTGAGATTTACGTTTAGCTAATTAAAATTCAAGTTGTTTACTGAAGAACAAAGCAACCAATACTAATGAAGTCTTGTTCTTGGAGTAACTTTAAAATCATCTATGCACTTCTAACGCCTCAGCTGCATCCACTCAATTTTAAACTTTGTTTGTATCATTACGATGATTATCCCTCTATCCAGGTTTATATACTCGAGTCACACTAGGGTTAGTTGAACACTAACTCATACTTAGTTTAAAAATCAACTTATGCTCATAAACATTTGACTGAAGATGATAAATTTCAGAATAAAAACATTGAAAATTCCAAACACGTCATGCTTTAAACTACAAGGTTCTCTCTTACGCAAAATATTTTGTCCTCTTTACGCATGTTACGCAATACAATTTGAATTACTAAAAGAAGTCACAACAATAGGTAATCAAACAATAAAACAATATCCATGCATAGACTGCACGAAATCATGCTGAAGCACACTACGCAAACTCATTCTAAAACGTTCTATTCAGAGCTCATCGTAATATACTAGGAAGAACAAGAATAAAGGGACCGTATGCAAATCTCATTTTACTTTATAAATTCTAAAGTTGTCAGCAGAAATTGGTTTGGACGTTTTTCTACCGTTTGAGTTTAATGCTAGTTTTCAATTCATACCTTATCAAGCTTAAATTTGAGTTTTTTTAAAATATCACATACAGTCCCTTTAAAAACAGGTAGTGCGAGAGTTTCATATGTTCTAATAAAACAATTGATCTAACCTGGTGGAGGAGGTTCCGGAGTAGGTTGATACACCTGAGGAGGTTCACAGTGAAGACTCCGGGTTCCAACAATTACAAAATTATTCCTGGAGAAGTTATCACTGTCGTAATAGTTACCTCCTCTCCGGTATCCTAGAATAGATTTGATTCTTATTTATCATTTATATTAATGAAAAAGTTGGGTTATAGATCTTTGCAACCCAATGATGTAGACCTTTGATATTTCAAACTATTTGAAATATTAAAGGTTTACACCATCAGGTTGCAAAGATTAGAAAATTTGAGAGAAACTCAATTCCATAATTAAAAATAATGTCAACATCTTAGCCATTAAAACATTTTACTTTACTTTACAAACGAAATCTTTATCCTGAGAAAATAAAGTTCGAAAAAACATAAAATTCTTATTGTTACATTCGTTTGAGTTTTAACATCATCAGGATCTATCATGTACAGACATTCAATAAATTTGTTAATAGAACATTACACATTATAATACACATTACACATGTACAGGATTATATTAAAATAGCAAATTATATAATAACACTCTTGGTTAGTAAAGTTCACGTATATCCTAGATACAATAAAGTTGTAGGGTCTAAATACAACAGAGACTAGATGAAAAAGGTATTTAAGAACCTTGAGAGAGGTTTGAGGCTAGAGAGATGGGACTTAAAGAGCAAATTCACGAAAATAAAAGGAAGCATGGGATGTCAATTATTTAAACTATGATTAGACTAGTACTACTTTTCCCTCAATCCAATAGTTCTATGAAGAGAATTTGATCTTTATAAATTATTTTCCAAGAAAACACAATTTATTAGAAACCACAGTTTTATCTCAGACAAAGCTTCCCGATACTGAAATATCAGCCTGTGCAGCGCAAACAGAGATTTTTAAGAAGGGTCCGTCAATTCTCTTTACAGAAACATCAAATAGATACAAAATGATTGCCAATTGAAAAAAAATTATCCTTACAACTATCGCAAACACTCCCCTTTCATTGCCTATACATACAGGGGGAGTTAAGAATTAAAGGGCCTAGATATTAGGAGTGTGAAGACCAAAATAAAGGGGAGTCAACAATAAGCATACAAAGGGCATACAGAGGGTTTAGAGGTGCAGATTAAGTGTTTAAAAGGTTTTTGATGGGGGTGTAAAGGATGTATTAGATTAAGAATCTAAAACATTTGACAAATATAAATCAGAGCACGGTATAGCATGAGTATGGAATTCTAGGACCTGGATGAGCAGTTTAAAATAGTGCAGGATGAATTGCATTTTACATTCAGCCGACAAACTGTCTACTAAACCAGGGAGGAAGCTATATAATTAAAATGGTAAAAATAGCAATCATGTTAATCATGCACATTCAATATTAATAGAGAAAAGGGTTTACACATTTATGAATTCAGGATTGAAGTGTTAGTCGAGGGTTTATCAGAGGATGGGTTGAACACTGAAGGAACCTTGTTTATCCGGAGCTAACTCCTCTTTGGCTTCATTAACCTTTTCCGATTCTATATCCGAGTGTTCAGGTTCCACAAAGTCCTCTTCAGGTTTCCAGACTCCACCAATTGGAATGACGAATGAGTCTGGTCTTGTATAACGTATCAAAGGTTCATCCTCATATTCTTCATATTCATCCTCGTATTCCGTCTCCTCCGTCCTCTCCGGAGAGTAGGGTTTCACCGTATCTGTGGATGAGCTGGGTATAGAATATCCATCTAAACTACCGTCTAGGAAGGACGGAGAAACTGAAACCTGTCTGCTAGGAGGACGGGAGCTAGCAGCAGCAGCTTCAGCTCCGTATAGAGAAGAAGGACGTCTTAAGTTTGGAGGATATAGCTCACTATCAGGACGGAAACCCCAGGGACACGGGACATTCTCAGCATTTGACAAGGTGGGAGTAAGAGATCCTCTGGAGCAAGGAGAGAAAGGTCTCCAGGTTGGAGATTGAAGAAAACGATCATCTCCAAGTCTTGACACCTCCATATCACGGAATATTTCACATTCTTGATCTATATCCGTATCCTCGTGCTCCTCTACAGATACATCAGGAATAGGTTTGAAGTTGATCGGAACATGCTCCCCTCGCCCCAGCATCAGAGAAACCTGCTCTTCCTGTTCTTGGATTAGTTTCTCCTCTTCATATTTATCTTCTCTCTCACTCTGCTCCTCCGAACCTACAAAACTTGCGAGAACCGTTTCTAGAGCTTCAACATTTGAGATCCCACTTTTAGGTTTCTTCCCCATAACTTTTACAACTTTCTTAGAGATAAGGGTTTTGGCTTTCTGTATCATATCCACAATCTTATTCTTCTCCGACTCGTTTACAAGAAGTGTAACGGAGAAGGTTTTCTCTGCTTTGTTATCCAGGTACATGTTTGTATTGGTGTAATCCAGATCAACCGACTGTGATCTAGAATTCTTTGAAGACGTGCTTCGGCTTCGGTCTGCATCCCTGATCATTCTGATATCAAATGGTTTCTTTAAAACTCTTGGTCTGGTTTCAAGCTTGTTGACGCTTCCATTGGACGTTTGTCTTGAGTTAAGTCCCTCTTCTTGTCTCTTTAGGATGGGAGGAGGAAGAGGAGTTGGCAGGGTTGGATTGTGTCGAATCTGAACTGGACTACCGCTAGGTTTCACTTTCGCCTCTCCGGGTTTACATAGTTCAATCTTATCAATATCTGCGGTTTTGTTTTCTCCAAGTTTAACCACGGCTTTTTGGGTTGAAAGTGATTTATTGCCAATTCCTGCGGATCCTAAATATGCATACAAGAACGTGGAAATATAAGTTAAATTTGCATTCAAAATTTCTAATTCTCTATAAAAAGATATAAAGTACAATCTTAGTGCTCTAAATAATATAAATAGTCCTTAATGCACGTTCAATCTAAAATATTGTTTTTGAACCAAGAATAAAATCATTATCCTATAATTCCATGAGGAAAAACAAGGACATTTATAACGATCAGGTCACCCAGTGTACATCTTTTCTAACTTAGAACCTAGAACCAACAGTTTTCTTGAAAAAGTGTAAAATATTTAGCTTAGTTTAATGTGTTCACCGATACGCTAAATCTCCCGTGATCTTTAATAATAAGTACAGTACTCCAGGCTGGAAAATAAACAGTTACTCAGTCATTATATGATCTGGAGCAGTGCCTTAACTTTCAACCCTTATAGAATGATTTATAAAAATGTTGCAAAATAGAAGAAAAATTCATCAATACTGGATCCAGTCTGTTTAAACTATATGTTCTGTATTGTCCTGTCAGGAATAAAACTACTATCTTGTATCTCATAAAAACATTTTACAATCTTTAGTTGTCCGACGTCCGTCCTACAAAAAATATAAGTCCCCCTGGATCAGCGAAATCTATGGTTTTCAGGTTTTTTGGCCCCAATGTGTGCCCCCCCCCCCCATAGAAAGAAAAAAATTTAAGCCCTCTCCCCCCTGGACAAATTCCTGAATAATCCACTGGAAAGAAATTCTTGTTATGATCCCTTATAAAATGTTACCTAGTGGAAGACCGTATGTATTGAACTGGGTCGCATCGAAGTTTCGCTTTTTAGCTCCAGCCGAGGACTTGGAGACAGACTGCATCTTGGAAACCTCCTTAGCGTATATATCCATGAAGAAGTTTTTGGTTGCTGGTCCAGCATTTTCTAAATAAATAACATTTTATATTTACTCTGCACTTGGAACATAACATAATAATTTCGAGGATTCTTTGAATACTTTTCTGCCAGGGTGAGGAGAACAGAGTACTCACGCCTATTTCAAGAATGTGTCTCAAAATTTCACGGATTTTTTGTATTTGAATTTACAAACCTTTCTCCTCCGTCTTGGGATCAGGTTTAGGAGGAGGCATTGTGTTGGCAAGACTGGCAATTCCTTTCGGGTTCGTGTTGATCTCCTTTGGAGGACTGGATAGGTAGGCAGGGTAGGTTTGGGTTTTAAGAAACTCTTCCTTTCGTTCGCAGTCTTTCTTGATCTTGTTGATCATGGAATCCTCCTCAATAAAAAAATGGCATAAGTAAATCTTCGAATATAGTAAATGCTAAATGTATATAAAGGAAAATGTGAATTTAACCCCAAAGTATACCAAGAAACAAGATCAAAAATAAGAAACTGTGATTTGTTGAGGTTTAAAAAGCGAGAACTTCAGAAGAAGAGAAAATGATGTAACTGAAAGAATTGTGAAGAAAAATTTATCAAATAATAATTATTTAGAAGAATTCATTAATTAGCCAATATTTATTCAAATATTCACCAAACAAATTAATGAAAAGAAAAAAAGAATTATTACCTGATGACTAGAGAACCCTGCCATGACACTAGAATCACTATCTAAACTATCTCTGCTATTGTTTGGAGCACTAGTATGACCCGACCCAAGGGTTGAGGATGAGATAGAGGAGCGCGCCAAGGCAGGCACAGCGTAAACATGCTCCGTGCTCCCTGAGCTACCAGAGGGAGGCACGGACGGAACCTTCAGTCTATCATTCCCTATGGATTCGTAGAGGTTCTCCCATTCGGAGTTTTGATGCTGGCCGGACGGACGAGGGGCGGACGGCACTCGGGATTTAGTTCCGGGATACAAAGAACGAATATCCGACTGCCGTCCTTCCCGTCCGTACACGGAGTCTCTGGTTGAATCTGATGTTTTGGATGAGAAGGGACTAGACTCTCTACTGGAACTTGAACAAACACTTGCCGGCCAAGGAGGTTTAGCGGAGCTACCAGGTTCAAGTCTTTTATTTGTCTCTGGGTTCTGTGCGATCTCGGAGAAATAAACCTGGAGAATATCGTCTTGTTTCGGAACTACAACTAAACGAAGCATATCACGTGATTTTTGTATCATCTGCACAACCTGAGCATACGATCGGCCGGCAACACTTTCTCCGTTCACTGTCACTATCCTATCCCCGATATTTAGACCGGCAACCACCGCCGGTCCTGCCTCTTTTATAGACTTGACGAATATAGTGTCCAAAGGGTCGGAGATAGGAGGTCCTTCCGTTTCTCCGTCCTGAAACATTAGTGCTGGATAAAAAAGCAATATAATAGAGTGCTGATAAGAGAACTAATGGTTATCATTCACTACTCTCTCTCTGGGTTATATTTAGAACTAGAACCAAGAGGAAAAATAATCTTATCAGTGAAAAGTAGAAAACCTAATAGAATAATACTTTTCCCAGACAAACTACAAACAATACAATAATACTACCTCAGGAGGATAAACAATACAATAATACTACCTCAGGAGGATAAACAATACAATAATACTACCTCAGGAGGATAAACAATACAATAATACTACCTCAGGAGGATAAACAATACAATAATACTACCTCAGGAGGATAAAAAATACAATAATAATACCTCAGGAGGATAAACAATACAATAATACTACCTCAGTAGGATAAACAATACAATAATACTACCTCAGGAGGATAAACAATACAATAATACTACCTCAGGAGGATAAACAATACAATAATACTACCTCAGTAGGATAAACAATACAATAATACTACCTCAGTAGGATATACAATACAATAATACTACCTCAGGAGGATAAACAATACAATAATACTACCTCAGTAGGATAAACAATACAATAATAAAACCTAAGGAGGATATACAATACAATAATAATACCTCAGGAGAATATACATTACAATAATAATACCTCAGGAGGATAAACATTACAATAATAATACCTCAGGAGGATAAACAATACAAAAATAATACCTCAGGAGGATAAACAATAAAGTGTCTGAGAGTGAATCCAAATCCTCCATCCTTCCTCTGTATGTACAACTGACAATAAAATAAATTAGTCATAAATTAATAGAAGTTGTAGAACTTTTATTATAAATGAAATATTACTCCTGTCCTTACCTGTCTGTAAGAACTTTTACCTGTCTGTAAGTACTTTTACCTGTCTGTAAGTACTTTTACATTTCTGTAAGTATTTTTACCTAGTCTGTAAGTAAAGTACCTGTCTGAAAGTACTTTTACTTTTCTGTAAGTACTTTTACCTTTCTGTAAGTACTTTTAACTGTCTGTAAGTACTTGTACCTGTCTTCAAGTACTTGTACCTGTCAGTAAGTAATTGTACCTATCTGTAAGCACTTGTCCCTGTCTGTAAATACTTGTACCTGTCTGTAAGTACTTGTACCTTTCTGTAAGTACTTTTACCTTTCTGTAAGTACTTCTAACTGTTTGTAAGTACTTGAACCTGTCTGATTGTACTAGTACCTGTCTGTAAGTACTTTTACCTGTCTGTAAGTACTTTTACCTTTCTGTAAGTACTTTTAACTGTCTGTAAGTACTTGAACCTGTCTGTAAGTACTTTTAACTGTCTGTAAGTACTTGAACCTGTCTGAGTGTACTAGTACCTGTCTAGAAGTAGCTCTTGAATATGTTGCTGAGAATTGTTCCATCTGTCTACTGGAAAGAGGAGGAGGAGTGCCTTCATCAACATCTCTCTGTCTTCGTGCTGCTTCCTAGAAATAATATTTTTATCCATAGAATACATTATCCTAGATACTATTATCCTAGATACTATTATCCTAGATACTATTTGTATAATAAGTTAGAATCATTTTAATTAATAGATAAATCTTAATTAATCTAGAAATCTAATTAATATTTTTCTGGATGTTTTAAGATCCCGTCTTTCATGATAAAGAACCAATAAGAGTTAATTATACATATAAGATATGTCCTGATGATTCTATGGAAACTGACCTAAAGGAACCCAAATTATCAAGTGGTTTTTGAGAGAATTCCCCGCACGTGTTTACGGATTTAAATCGACTCCCCATTGTAACCAAGTTTAATCCAACTCCACCTACTAACCTAATCTACTTTAACATTTTTTGGACGGAAAACACTAAGGACAGATAACCTTTAGTCATAAGACACTTAGTAAGTTCTGTTAGTTTAGCTTGATAAGCGAGTTAAGTCCTTTTAAGTGGAACTGTACTGTACTGTAATGTACTGGTCTGGACAGCACTAAACTGCACTGCGTACTGTACTCTAATGATGTTCTCTTTTGCACTCTACTACTGTACTCTTAATGATGTACTCTACTACACTACTGCTCTACTGGTGTGGTGTGGTGTGGTGTGGTGTGGTGTGGTGTTTATATTAAAATAGCAAATTATATAATAACACTCTTGGTTAGTAAAGTTCACGTATATCCTAGATACAATAAAGTTGTAGGGTCTAAATACAACAGAGACTAGATGAAAAAGGTATTTAAGAACCTTGAGAGAGGTTTGAGGCTAGAGAGATGGGACTTAAAGAGCAAATTCACGAAAATAAAAGGAAGAGTAGTGTAGTGTAGTGTAGTGTAGTGTAGTGTAGTGTAGTGTAGTGTAGTGTAGTGTAGTGTAGTGTAGTGTAGTGTAGTGTAGTGTAGTGTTGTGTAGTGTTATGTAGTGTAGTGTAGTGTAGTGTACTTGAGTCTAAAGGAGACAAGAAATTCCTTATTTTTTGAAAAAAAGCTAAAATTTGATGAAAGCAATAAATATGATAAATCTACGAGATATCTAATGTTATTGCAGGCTGTTGGCAAGTATGAACGATAAAAACTTGTTCCAAACATTTTCCTATTATCATTGTATACATGTATTGTGTGATAGTGTTTATAAACACAATCTTTTAGGTTCAACACTCATCAGTATCTTTAGAAGTTTAGTTGTCTCCAGGAACTTATGATCTTGATATTCAGAACTACTGAAAAAGGGATTTAAAGCGATAAAAAGCTTTAAAAATATTTAGAATAAAAATGTTAACCCAAAACCTCAGATTTGGAGGGGGGGGGGGCGTAGAAATCTCTGATTTCAATATATCCCCCTGCGGGCCTGCATGAATATATGCTTAATGTTTATAAGAGCTAGAATATATTTAAATTGTATAGATAATGTTGACAGACAAATATCTGGAACATGTCGAAATGAATCTATACCTAGTTATAGTAAACCTAATAAACAGTGTTTCCTACTTTAACATTGGAAATTCCCGGAGGAACAACTTTTTTTCTCCCCAATTATGATTTCTATTTACAATTTCCCATTAAAAGTTTCCCAAAGTAATTTCTTTAAAAAAATTAAATAAGAATTTCTAAAAATGATTTCCGTTTAAAGTTTTCCAAATAAAAAAGATCACTTTTGGAATTTGTCCAAACATTACAATTCCAAATAAAACCTGGGTCACATGGATTTAAATCTTTTTTTTCTCCATGACTGAAAACTGTTTTCCCTGTTTTCTCCCCTGGCCTATTTAGATCTCAGTTTAGGGAGCATCAAACTTGTTTATCTCAAGTTTATATCTTTCTTCTTCAAACTATTTGCATATTCAGAGAACAAAGTTAAGTTTTACTCAAATACATTTAAATCCGAACGGATGTATGAACCGATTTACTCAAATACATTTTAATCCGAACGGATGTATGAACCGATTTAGGCCCAAAAATGTGTGGGGCCTCCGTTAGTTAAAATTAGTTAGTTAGGATTAATACTTGTTCTTGAAAAAAAAATCCCCTGAAGCCCTGAATATCATTGATCTAAGTTAAGTTTTTGTATTTTCATTTTAGGCTAAATAAAAACAGGATTGTAACTGAAAAAATCATAATTGATAAATATCAAGTATAAAATGTACTTTACTCCAGTACTGAGATTATATGTGTGTGTATGGGAAGCTTAGGGTAATGATAACTCATCTCAGCTGTCATCTATAAACCTTAAACTCGTCCAGGCAAACTCATATACTTACACCCTGGAATTCAGGCAGATTAAATTTGCACTTCAACGTCTTATATTTAGTTTATAGAAATCTAAGGACAAATGAACCTAAGAGATTGTAAAATTCAATGAGCTCATCAGAGATTTTTTTCATCTTAATCGGTTTAATCCTAGGACGGAATAAGTTCTGAACATTTCCAGGAATGTCAGATTAAAAATGAAAACACCAATTCTGCAATATATGCAAAATGTTCTGAAGAACTGGCATAAAAAGGAAAGTTTTTGCGGATATTTAATTGGTCATTTGTAATAAACATAGATTCCTTTCATGAACACAACAAAAATAAGAATTCAGTGAAATCCAAAAATATTATTTTTTACTATTTTTTTCAGCGAACTACTCAATTCACAAAACATATGAAAATAATAATATCTGTAAATATATGCATCTATTAGTTCATGACTAATAACATCTTAATAGAAGTTTACATTCTAATAAGCCCTTAACGATTACCCTATTCCAAGTTCCAACGTTTTTTAGATATAACTCAAAAAGTATTTGTCTGAGGTCCCTGCCCCCCCCCCTCCCCTGACTATTTAGGAGGCGTCAGCCTTAAAAGGGTTAAGTTAACTGATCAAAATATTTTAAAATACTTAGGTTGAAATAGGTTGACATTAAATTGGATTCCAAGATCTTCAGGAGCTGACCTTTTGCAACAAACTTGTCTCATCCATAAATCTTTGCAACTTGATGTCGTAAACCTTTAATATTTCCAACTATAAATTCTGTTAATTCAAATGATGTATGTTTAAAATATCAAAGGTTTACACTACCAGAGCTGAAAACTTTAGAATGGTGGATATCAGGATTAAGGCTTAATCCACTCTTTTTCTTAATCTCGGAATTAAATATTGCTTGTTTACCTCATGACTTTAATCTTCAAATTAATTATCCGACGGGATATCTGGATATTTCATTCTAAAGTTTTCAACTCAGGTTGCAAAGGTAAAGAAAATAGAAAAGGAATTGACTCTTTGCCACAAACTTTGATTTTCTAATCCCAATATCTTTGGAACCCAATGTCGTAAACCTTTGATATTTCAAACTTATATTTTTTGATCTAAAAAAAGTCATAGTTTGAAATTTCAAAGGTTTACGACGTTGGAATCCAAAGACATAGGGATTAGAAAATCAGAGTGTGTTGCAAATAGTCAATTCCTTCGTGTTTATCGCAAAAACTCAATTCCTTTGCGCAAACTGCCTTGCTACTTTGTTTACTCAAAACCGGTAGATAAAGGGGAGAGATAATGAAATTTTATTCGTAAGCTTTGAAGGTCATTAAAGTGAAATACGAGAAGAGATGAGATTGCAGAACAATGCTATATATGTTCAAGAGCAAGGTTGGAAAACATAAGATTTCAACTTGGATATCTGTAGTTTTAAATTGAAACCATGTATTAGTATTACTATGTATTAGTTAATTTGATCCAACATAATTCATAGTTTGAAAAATCTTATGCCTAAACATAGGGTTGAAAAGATAAAGGGATTAGAAAATCAGAGTTTATGGCAAAGAATAAATTTCTTTGAGGAGATTAGCCATTATTAAGAAATTGACTAGAAAACAGAATAAGGCAGAGAAGATTAGGCTAAAACTAAATCCTGTGTCTACAAAATCAGGAGAATACAAACCACTAATTTTCATCAGGAGACTGAAGATAAATCCCATAGGATCAGAAGACTATAGATAAGGTTTAATATGATCAGAAGACTATAGATAAGGTTTAATATGATCAGAAGACTATAGATAAGGCTCAATAGGATCAGGAGACTATATAACAGGTTCAATAGGATTAGAAAACTATAGATAGGGTTCAATAGGATAAGAAGACTAGATAAGGTTCAATAAGATCAGGAGACTATAGATAAGGTTCAATAGGATAAGAAGACTATAGATAAGATTCAATAGGATCAGAAGACTATAGATAAGGTTTAATAGGATAAGAAGACTAGATAAGGTTCAATAGGATAAGAAGATTATTGATAAGATTCAATAGGATCAGATGACTATAGATAAGGTTCAATAGGATCAGGAGACTATATAACAGGTTCAATAGGATTAGAAGACTATAGAAAAGGTTCAATAGGATAAGAAGACTAGATAAGGTTCAATAGGATCAGGAGACTATAGATAAGGTTCAATAGGATAAGAAGACTATAGATAAGATTCAATAGGATCAGAAGACTATAGATAAGGTTCAATAGGATAAGAAGACTAGATAAGGTTCAAATAGTATAAGAAGACTATAGATAACATTCAATAAGATCAGAAGACTATAGATAAGGTTCAATAGGATCAGAAAACTATAGATAAGATTCAATAGGATCAGACAACTATAAATAAGATTCAATAGGATCAGAAGACTATAGATAAGGTTTAATAGGATCAGAAGATTATAGATAAGGTTCAATAGGATCAGGAGACTATAGATAAGGTTCAATAGGATCAGGAGACTATAGATAAGGTTCAATAGGATCAGAAGACTATAGATAAGGTTCAATAGGATCAGAAGACTATAGATAAGGTTCAATAGGATCAGGAGACTATAGATAAGGTTCAATAGGATCAGAAGACTATATATAAGGTTCAATAGGATCAGAAGACTATAAATATGGTCCAAGAGGATCAGGAGACTATGGATAAGTGCCGATGGATCAACAGAATGTGGACAAGGTCCAATAGGATCAGGAGACTTTATAGATAAGGACCAAAAGTAAATTCATATAATAAATTAATAAATGAATTCATTGAATGGTCAACCAGTAAACCAGATCTAGATTCCAAATTTTTATATATGAAGCAAGATTCATAAAAGTTTAAAGACTACAACTCATACGTTCATGAGAGCTGGGTTCTGATTAACCAAGATTCAGTCAAATTTGGTTCAGGAAAAGATCCCTTTTTATTTATTTAAGTGTGCAGTTTATCTAGGTTTTATTGTATAACGTTCATGAAAAGTAGGTTTGAGAAGGTTTGGTTCACTGGAGCTTTGCTGTGTGGAATTAAGTTCGAAGAGCTAGGTTTTGAAATTCATAAAAACTAGGTTTTGGGGTTCAGGAGATCCAGATTTGTAGGTTCAGAAGATATAGGTTTTGAGGTTCAGGAGATCTAGGTTTTTGGATTAGGAGATCTAGGTTTTGAGGGTCAGTAGATCTAGGTTTTGAGGGTCAGTAGAACTAGGTTTTTGAGTTCCCAAAGAATAGGTTTTAGGGTTCAGGAGAACTATGTTTAGGGGTTTCAGGTGATCAGGGTTGTAGGGTTCAGGAAATCTAGGTTTTGTGGTTCAAGCGATCTAGGTTCTGGGTTTTAGGAAAATGTGTTTTGGATTCAGGAAATCAAGGTTTTGGGGTTCAGAAGGTGTATGTTTTGGGATTCAGGAAATAAAGGTTTTGGGGTTCGGACGAACTAGAATTCGGAGAGAATTAAGTTATGTTATCAGGGGAACTAATTCCGAAAAAAGTTATGATTAGAACACTTACAGCCTTCTGTTTGTAGAGTTCCCAAGGAACCAGGGAACTAGGATAGAATTCACTTGTCATACTCAACCCTCCCACGAGACATAGAGTCGGATCCTATGTCAGGCCGGAGTGTGTCCCTCACTACTATCTCACAGAAGAACTAGGCAGTTTCTCTCTCTCACACTGATCCTTAACTCACTAAATATGCAACTTTCGGCCTCTTGGCAGAGTGAGGACATGACCGACTCTCCGAGCAGTATATATAAATATATAACAGATAGTTGGAAAGCTGAGCAAATAATAAAGGTTTGTGATGGAATCTTTTAGGGGAGAATCTGCTCAGGTATTAGGGGTAATACAGGCCTTCCTTCAAGTATCTCTTAATTTAAACATAGATTTGAATTTGTCCAAATTGACATGAAACTTGTTTTATCCAAAATGATTTTCCCACGTTAAATTGTGAAGACAAGAGCAGGGAACTAGGGAGAGAGAGATATCACATGCAGCAGTGTTAACACAGTAAAATAGAACAATAAAGCATTTTTATTGCACAGAACTTAGAATGTCTATGAGAATGTGAAAGTTTTAAAAAATTGTTTACATTCAGAATCTGTTGTTCAGGCATGTACAAGCAGCAGTCTACATACTTGTTTAACAATATACACATCATTAATTCTTTAGAAATATAAACAAATGAAAATTTTCCCCAAGAATTCAGAAATAGGTTTGTAAGCTGCGCATGCTCTTATCAAAAGTTGATTTATTATTAGACCAAAGAAATTGAGTCTTTGCCATAAACTCAAATTTTCTAATCCCTACATCTTTGCAACCCAATGTCGTAGACCTTAGATCTATCTATCCATCTATTATGAATCGCCGGCACCCCATAGAGTAAGCCAACAACAACCTTTCAGGCAACCTCGTTTGTATACGAATGTATCCGGCCAGGGTTGACTGATAACATGACATTGTGCAATGATTTCAAAAACCACAGTGGCCCTTTCTGCTCATGCCTGAAAATCCCAGACAAAGGTGAATTAAAAACATTATTCTTCAAGTCTTTCATATTTCATACTAGGATTAAATATATACTAATATCAAAGGGTTACAAAGTAAGGTTGCAAAAACATAGGGATTAGAAAATTTGAAAATGTGGCTAGAACTCAATTACTTCGTTAAACGTACATTGAAAAATAATATATTTCTGACTTTAAGCTATTGTGAATAAGATCTTATTTTTTAAAATTTGGTAAGTGTGCTTTAAATCAAATATGAACCCAACTAAGCTTTTTATCGAAAAGGGGGAGACTGGGAAGAAAATAAATCTAAATCCACTGTTTGTCATGCATTATATGTCAGTGTATTTATGTACTGTGTACAATGTACATAAATTGTACATTGTAAATTGTACAGTACATGTTAAATACAGTATCAAAAAATTATAAATTCGTATTCGTGTATTAAAATCAATGAAGGGATGTGGGGGGGGGGGGGTCAGAAATCTTAGACATGGACTGAACAAAAATATCTGTGAAATTCAAAGTCCCTGAATATTCTATATTTAAGCTTTCCCGAATATATTCAACATTTTCCTTATGCAAACCTACATTTAGTACTTAGATAAATAGTTACAAATATACGCTATATCCATATATTATATATTATATATTATATATTATATATTATGTATTTTAAGATTTGAAACCCCTGAAACATGTTTAGAATGATTAAATGCTTGAGCTTGGTAAATAGTTGATGATTGACAGTTTGACAAAGTTAAATAGTCTAATCTCTCTTCTTACACAGAACAATAACTTTCAGATAACGCCATTTTACCCTTTCCGCAATTTTTTCCCTTCATTTTGTCCTGTCCCGTCCTTTCATCCTGTCCTGAACGCCGATGGGTCCCGTCTCCGGCTGTCATAAGATTTTCTTTCATATGCTGTCCTGTCCTATGTTGTTTTGTCCCATACTGTCCTGTTCTATGCTGTCCTGTCCTATGCTGTCCTGTCCTATGCTGTCACGCCCTATGATGTTATGTCCTATGAAGTCTTTTCATTTGTTCACCCGGCCGTCCTATGCTATAACAAAAAACCTTCCTTATAATCATGTAATTCAAAAATGTAGGAAGGGAAAAGGAAAAGAATTCAAGAGAAGAATGATGAGACATCATTTAAAATGTTGACAGAATAGATATTAGAGAAGAAAAAATTTCTATGCGCTAAAAGTCCAAATTTCGGTTGAACAACATTTGAAAATGACTGCTTATCATGTTTATATAATGTTCAATTTACTAAATTATCTTTGCTATCTTATTTAATGTTATCAGTAAAACAATAAATAATACAATACTTCAAAGATGTTCCATGTAAATTAATAAAAACTGGATTTTCATGTAAAAATCTTTTTTTAAGTATAGAAGTTAAATGATTTCTGGGTTGAATGAAGCGGAAAGTAAGGTTAGGAATTATAAAAATAAAATTTCTACGTCATTAGTTTCAAACACTTCACCTTGCGTTAGTAAGGACATAAAACTACCCAAAAGTGTCAACTCTAATAAATAATATAATTTTTTCCATATTTTGTTTCATCCCATCATCTTTCCTACACCCCCCCCCCCCCCCACCCTTTCCCTCAATTTGGAAAAACCCTTCCCATCATTAAAATATTTTAACAGTATCGTTCATTTTTCAAATGAATGGGTAAGCCAAAAAATTGTCTTTTTAGCACGGATACAACACTATTCCCAACCTTATTCTACTATTCCTACCTGATCTTTGCGAAGTTGGGTCCAACGCTTTTCTACAGTTGAGGACACAGAATCCTGATCCTGTGAGATAGCAAGACTGTCAGGTTGTTCTAACCCTTCTCCGGGATAATACTGTGCACCCCAACATGGACCATGGTTTTGGTTACAATTAGGTTGTCTGACTCCATAAATGGGTCCGTAGAGAGGCTGCTGGAAATGGGATCCAGGATAATGTCCGTATACAGGACGATGAGCTTGATGAGAGTGGGAGGAGATTAATCCGGGATTTCTCAAGGTAGGGTCGTAAGTAAGCTGTGGGGGACCATACCCCGGCATGTAGGGTTGGGCGGGCCTGTATCCAACAGAATAGGGTTGAGGGGTACCATATCCACCTACAGATTGAGGATCGGTATATCCAAGAGGGACTAGTTGATCAGACGGATATCCTACAAGGTTGGGTCGAACAACTGGATAAACCAGAGGATACGGTTGATCTACTCCGTACCTAACAGGGTACGGTTGATCTACTCCGTACCTAACAGGATACGGTTGATCTACTCCGTACCTAACAGGATACTGTTGATGAGGAGGAAAACCAACATGATTGGGTTGCGGAGCACGATATCCACGCTGGGGTTGTGGTATAGAAGATATCTCTGCACCCCGGAGAGCGGTAGCTTGGGATATCTCCGAACCCGGGCCTGAGTAGGATGGATTATAGGATAGATCTGTTGTATCCTGGGGTTCAACCCCGGACTCGCCAGTCTCCATCTGAAAAAAAATAAAAATAAAATTTTGTTCATGTTTAGAAATTTAAGAACTGAAATATTTTAGTCTATTTTAATATCCTAAATACTCGCGCCATTTAAAATAAGAAAAAAGTTTTGAATATATGCTTGGCTTTCAGCAATCGTAGTGTATGCACCACTACTCATACTTTTCTGTTTCCTGTTTTCTGATTTACAACGGTACCCTTGAAACCTTAATCTGGTCAAAAATGTGGAAGATAATATCGTTTTCCTGATTTCTGTGTGATTCAGATTCGGCTCAATAAATCAGTTTCTTTTACGAATTCATTTTAAATTTAAGATAAAAGGTTATCCACGCAAAAATTCAATAAACTCGATATTGAAATAAATAAATAATATTCTTTTTTAAATAAATTGAGTATATTCAAATAAATTGAATATATTCAAATAAATTGAATATATCTAATAAATCACTGAAGACATCATTGTTGAGACAAAGTAAATAAGATTATAAAACGTTATCATAAAACACTCAAGAGTCTAGAAAATCCAATTTCCACTCCAATATACGTCAAAACGGCTGAACCGATCGGACCCAAATGTTTTGTGTGACCTCGAATGACCTCAAAAATTCGATTGTCATTAAATTTTGAAAATTCTCAATTTTTTTTTTAAATCTAAGAACTTTTTATGGTTTTTGTTTTATTGTATGTAAAGAGAAAATGTTCACAATCGAAATAGAAGATGCTTAGTACTTCTAAATTGCATCTATAGGCGAGAATTTTACTTTTAAAAAGCTTTCTTCATTCACTTTTTAATTTTTCACGGGGTTTGTTAACACTGTTCAGTTTTAGTTTGATTTTATTCAGAAGATAAAAATAGTGGGAACCAGAAAAATGTTGAATTATTATCGTCTTCATACTTTTTTATGATTAAGAGAAATCGCTATGGATTTTGTGATTTCTAATTGCCAGATACTTTCATTTTTATAAAAATAAATCAGTTATAAAACGACAAAATCATTCGCAAAATTTCGCAATAAAAAGATAGAGACGTCAATCACTGTTCAGCACTGTATGTATGTATAATGTATAAGTAGATGTATAATAAGGGAAGGTTAAGGAGTATCTGATGAACAGGAAAGGTTAAAGTATAACCCAGAGGGATTGAGTATTAAGGTTTAAGTTTGACCAAGAGTTAGGTCTAGTTACCAAGCGGTTTTCAATATGACAGTACAGACGCGAGGACCAGGAAAAGGGAAGAAGGGGGGATTTATGGGTCTGGGTTCTTAGTTAAAATTAACCAACCACACCCCCTGGACAGAATTAACCCAGTTTCTTCTAAACCCTTAAAAGTTGAATCAGCTGCTGAATTATATTAAGACAAGCATGAATTTCACAGGACCGTAGGTCACATGAAATTGGAAATATCTTGAATTTGTTTTAAAATACCGATGATTTAAACTAATCTTTATATTCTAAATTCTAAATTCTTTATACTGTGCATACGAATATTATATAATGTATACTGGCTTATAGGGTGCTTCGTGCAACCTTTCATAATAAAAATTCTAGTTTTTAAAAGTCATTAGTTTTTATGAATCTAAAATTTTCGCGGACTTTTCTATTTAAATTCGCAGATTTTCAAAAAAAATGTCGACATTTAGTTCCAGTTGAAATTTTCAATTCCCCAGAGTATTGTGGATGGTCATAACAAAAATCGATTAATTAATCTGGAGATTAAGAAAAAGAATGGATTAAGCATTAAGCCCGATATCCACCATTCTAAAGTTCCCAGCTCTGATTGGTTCAGCCGTTTTGATATTTATTGGATACAACAAACAGGCAGACAAGCAAAAATTATATATAAATACTTACACATATTTTATCCTATATAATATACCACAACAACTAAATGTATACTCGACGTATATCACAACTACTAAAGGTGGAGGGGGGGGGACGGTTAAAGTCGGAACACCTTTTAAAATCAAATCATATAGGGTAATTAAAATTAAAATATTGTACAATGTACACTCTTTAAATAAAGTAAAAGCCTTCATTTAAGCATAGGAGTTAAGTGTCCTATCTCGTAGAAGTAGTTTAGTTTGAACTTAAAAATTAAAGAATAAAACAAACCTGGATTTGAGGGTTCACATAGCTACATACAGCTGGGTAAGGACAAGGGAATACAGCCTAGTTTTCCAGGCATAGTTTACAGAACACATCCTTCACTCATATCACATACACTCAATACAATATCTCAGTAATACAACTCCTTAAAGTACAGCTACAGCTTGGATCTAAGTGCCTCACTGATAATTCTTCACAAATGCACTATTTCATTGTTAGGAGGAGGAGGTTAGATAAGGAGGGAAGGGTGTAAGCTTGCTTATCTCCGACCAGGCTCCATTCTTCTGAAATATGAGCAGGTTCAATGTTTGCGGAATTTTACTCCGGACTATACCTTTTTATACACGACTATAGACGGAGCGGATAAAGTATAATAATAATAATAATATTAGTATCAATAACACATGAATATATCATCAAATCATAATAATGATAAACTTTACTTACTAATCAACTTGAATGCATAATGTTCGAATTTTAATCACAAAGAACTTTTTTATTCACAAGATGAAGAAATATTTGATTAGTTCTCCATATATACATATATTCTTGCAGATCTATAAGACACTGAGGTAAAGTGGAAACCGCATGTTCAATGACGCAACTCATAAATCGCTGTTACAGCACCAAAAGTCAGAACTGGAACTTTACTACGTAAACATCTATTTTTAGATAAAAAATAATATATTTCTTGTGAGGATTAAATCAGAAATAAAGTAAATCGAAAGTATAGATTTATTGAAAAATTGTAATTGAACAGTTCAATAGGTTTGATTAGCTTGCAATATTTCCTAAAGATAAGAGCAGGAGTTTGCAATATACACCCCCTCCCTCCTCCCCCCCCCACCCAACTCCTTACAATTAAACGTGTGGGGAGGGGTGGGGGTACAATGTTCAAATTTATGTTTGTGTGAATTTTTCAATTGTATCTTTATTAAAAATGCATATAAATCAATTAAACTAAAATAGAGATAAATCTTTAAATTTTTATCAAACATAACTGAGAAATATTCTCCCCCCCCCCCCCACTCGATCTTAATCATTGATATCTCAACAATATAATTCACTTAAATCCGAAGATTGTAAATATTTATAAAAAATCTAAATCAGTTCAACACAGAAATTGTTGATAACTGTTCTTTTAGTTCTTGATCTATGGAATTCCATTTTTTTTCTTTATCATCAATTAAACTAAAGAACTTCTATCTTAACTAATTTTTTTGAGTCTTTAAAATAATCCTACATTTTCTAGATTTAGCATTGAACTAAGGAGTTCTGACCTCTTCCACAAATTTTTAATAACATCAATTTTAAATTCATAATTTGACACTGATTTTAAAATCCTTTTATTTCGCCATTGATATTTCAAATTTTCAATTCTGATAGATCAGATAGGCTTAAGTTTAAAAATTTCAGATTGCAAAGATATAGGAATAGAAAAATTCGAATTTGTGGGGAAAAAATCAATTTCTTTCAATTTTTCTGATGTTTAATATGTAGAATAAGTAATAATGTCTCTCTGTCTGACTCCAACTGGTAGTACTAGTATAGGACCTGGAGAAGAATAAGTATCCAACCTAACACGTAGTTAGTAATTTAGTCATCAGAGCAGAACGGAAACATGTTAAAAATATCAGGGCCTCAATCCAAAAAATTAAACACAACCAAGATAAGGATCCATACCGTTCTAGGTTTACTTTTTAGATATTTAAACCCCATTTTCGTTTTATCAATCCACTTTATGCATAATGTGATCATCATAATACAAAAATACTTATATGTAAGCAATATGATTTATAAAAAAGGGCCCTAATGATATAAATTTTGAATAAAATTATTAACTCTCTCCTCTACAGACAATAAACTAGTCTCTCATCACGTAAACTAACCTTAACGAAATGGATCCTATCTGTATTCGAAATTCGTCCGTCATATTTTGACCTCTCATTCAAAATCTGTCAAAAATAGCGAAAAAGACCTGTTTAAATATACCGCTCAACAAAATAAAATAACAAGAACGAAAATTCTTCATTTAATGGGCAAAAAAGGGATCTTAAGTTTCTATATCTGGTTTTCGTACAGGAAGGTTAACAAAGTTTACTTTAAAGTTACATTATATCCAAACGTCATTCAACACTGAAAAGAAGGTTTAAAAGGTTACAACTAATGTATACTAGACGTATACCACAACAACTAAATGTATACTAGACGTATACCACAACAACTAAATGTATATAGACGTATACCACAACAACTAAATGTATACTAGACGTATACCACAACAACTAAATGTATACTCGACGTATACCACAACAACTAAATGTATACTCGACGTATACCACAACATCTAAATGTATACTCGACGTATACCACAATAACTAAATGTATACTCGATGTATACCACACCAACTAAATGTATACTCGACGTATACCACAACAACTAAAGGTATACTCGACGTATACCACAACAACTAAATGTATACTCGACGTATACAACAACAACTAAATGTATACTCGACGTATACCACAACTAAATGTATACTCGACGTATACCACAACAACTAAAGTTATACTCGACGTATACCACAACAACTAAATGTATACTCGACGTATACTACAACTAAATGTATACTAGACGTATACCACAACAACTAAATGTATACTCGACGTATATCACAACAACTAAAGGTATACTCGACGTATACCACAACAACTAAATGTATACTCGACGTATA